CAGTGTGGCTCTTAATTTGCTACTTTATTTTATGGCCCCCTCCCAATAATGCGTGTGTCCCTTTCTTACAGCGTGTACCTCATTAAAGTTGGTTTCTTTATTCATCTATATTTGTACCTTATCTATTTAATATGTGCCTTTTTTATTGTTTATTTAGATTTTCTACTTTTGAAGTATTTTTTATGTGTTGTACTTCTTGTTATTTCTATTTTCTATGCCTTTTCTATTGTTTATTTAGGTTTTCTGCTTTTGAAGTATTTTTTATGTGTTGCACTTCATTTGTTTTCTTATTTCTATGCATTTATGTTATATTCTTGTATTTAACTACTTACTTGTTTTGTTCTTATTCTGCAGCCTATTATCAATGGTATTAGTTGATTTAATGTTTCATCATGGTGAAGATTGGATTAAAAAGCAACAACCGGTGTATTCAAGCAAGAATGTGCACACTAAAAAGGTTATGACACTAACTTGCTTTCTTTTGAAGACTTAGTGGATGAATATAATCCAAAGTTGGGGTATATAGGGGTGCAACAACTAATAGTTATGGGTCCCTCAGGTAAATACTATAAGATAGAAGGGGATGCTAGGATTAGGACTTGGTTGGATTTTGTTGGTGACTAGTTTACTGTTATTAACCTCTTCGCTGTAGAAGGTTGTGAACTTACAGATACCTGACAAAGTTAACCACACTGAGTCATACACATCAGAACTTGAAGTTTTCAACGACTGCAGTGGTACTGAAAGTGAAGAAAATGAGCCTGATGCTCAAGATTTTTCAGAATATGATTCTGATGGACTGGAGCAACTTCAAGCACAAAAGAAAAGGTGCATCAATGATAAGTTGACTGACTATAAAGAGTTAGATAAGTCAGTGTCATTCAAAGATATACCTGAAACTAGGAAAGTAATCTACATGTACTGTCTTGCAAATGGATATGAATGAAAACAACTTAAAAGTGATCCATCAAGGCTCAGGTACATCTGTGAAGATCCCTTCTGCCCCTTTATTTGTCATATTGCTAAGGATTTTGCAGGAGGTGGGGTTAAATTCAAGACCTTAAAATTAGAGCACAAATGTGAACCTGTATTTGAGAACATTAGAGTTGATGCAAATACAATAGTTGCATACTTCAAAAGAGGGTTGCAAGATGATCCAAAAGTTAAGGTTAAAGAGATGAGGGTAAGCTTGAAAGTTGCTTTTAAGATCAATGTTAGTGAATCTAATTGTAAGAGGGCAGAGAGAATGATCTTGGAGAAACTTGGAGGTAGTTTTTTTAGATGAATATAATAAGCTTGTGCTTATGCTAATGAACTTAAGTTTAGTAATCCTGTTACTGATGTGATAATTAATTTATCAAAGGATACTCTTTCTGAAGGGAAAAGAAGGTTTTTAAGAATGTATATATGTTTTCAAGCAATGAAGTTTGGGTTTAAGAGTGGACTGTGACCTTTTATTGGGCTAGATGGAATATTTTTAAGAGGGAAAGCTAAAGGTCAGCTCTTGGTGGTTGTTGCTCAAGACTCCACAAATTATTTTTATCCATTGGCTTGGGCTATTGTTGATAAAGAAACAAAATTAACTTGGAACTGGTTCCTAAGTCATATATAAAAGTCATTGGACCTCAAGGTGGGTGAAGGCATCACTTTTATATCAGATATGCAGAAGGTATGAATAATTTACTAGCTTATTTTGTTGTCAATTAATACTTTAAATATGTAGTTACTAGAGTTTTATCTTTCTGCAAGGGTTGATTAGTTCAATCTAAAATGTTCTCCCTGAGGCACACTTTAGGTTATGTGTAAGGCAAATAGAGGAAAATTGGTGCTTCAATGCAAGAAATTGCATGGAGTACATATGAGAAGAACTTCCAAGATCAGATAAAGAGTATGGGGTAGGTTGATGATGATGGTAAGCAAGCTGTTGAGGATTTGTTACAGTATGCACTCAAATGTTGGAGTGGGGATTTCTTTGATACTGTTTATAAGAACCAATCAGTTGATAATAACCTGACTGAGTCATTCAATTCATGGATCTTGGAAGCCATACACAAGCCAATTATCAAGATACTTGTGGATATCAGAATCAAGGTCATGAATATGCTTAATGAACATGAAGATGATGTGTGGACATGGACAAATGAATACAGTCCCAAAACTATGGACTTGTACCATCAATTCATGAGGATTATATGAAATGTCATGATAATGGTAGTGCTGACCATGGTTATGAGGTGACTGAAAGTAATGACAGATATATTGTGAATCTGGTTTCAAAGAAATGTACTTGCAGAACATGAGATCTTTGTGGCATCCTATGTCCTCATGCAATTTGTGATTTAATGTACAAGAAAAATTGACCCTCTAAGCCAGATTAATTGGTACCTTAGCAAAACGGCTCATCTTCTAACTTATTCATACTAGTTACAACCAGTGAGAGGAGAAAAATTCTGGAAAATAGAACCCTCACAATACATGGATCCACCTCCTTTTGTAAAGATGGTTGGGAGGTCAAAGGTTAAGAGAGTGATAGAAAAGAATGAGGCAGTTAATAGGCAAGGGAAGTGGTCTCAATAAAAGAAAGACAGGTTATGACATGTAGAACTTGTGGTGAACCTAGACACTATGCAAGGGGATGTGCCAAGGTAATCAATTGCTTTACATTACTATTTTCAATTTAATATTTTTGCTTTCATCATCTAACAATAACTTTCTTTTTTACTAATAGCAATCTAAAGAAAAGTAGTCCATTAGAGGAAGATCAAAAGGAATGTAGAAGAAAAGGCAAAAACTGTACTGGATGAAGCCATTGATGATGATCAACTCAGATCCCCAACTGCTGAAAATATGCCAAATGAAGATGAAATACTATTATACTCACCCTAAGCTAGTCAGATAAGCCAATCCAGCAACTTCAAGTTTATGCCAACCCCTTCAGTGCCAAGGCATGAAGCAAGCAATAGTGCTTTTCCAAATTTCGACTACCCTGACTTTGATGATGAACCTGACATGAATGTACGACCAAAGAGTATATCAAAGGCAAAGACTAGTCTCCAAATGAGGCAACAACAATATACAACAGTTGAAACAAGGGAAATTGGGTTTGTTGGTGATGCAAGTGGTGTGAGTGAGCCATCAAAACTTCCATACTCAGCAAAAAAATCACTTGGCAGGGTAAATATGCTATAACTGGTAATCAACTTAATAGACAAAAACTAGCCAAGTTGCAAGCAAGAAGGGGTAATAGTAAGGAGCTGAACTCTGATAGGATTTGAATGATAACTGGATAAGTGGACTTTATTTAGGATGTAGCTAACACTCAGAACCAAAAATCTGATAAAGATACCTTGAACACAAAATAGTTTACATAACACCAAAATTACATCATTAGTCGTAACACTAATATTATATATGCAGAATCTAAACATAGGATTACTAAATAATCAAACCAGAATTCACTAAAAACATTATACATATGTACTCATTAAAAAAATATCATAACAATACACATCAAAGACGATTCTACAGAAGGTCACTTTAATATCGACGCTGTAATAAATCCAACAAACAATGCCCATGAAATCATAAGCAACATCCTCGTGTTTAACACTTTGTCCTCCAATTTTCTGACTTTGGAAGCTTCAGCTTGGTGTAGAACCTTCATGGCAATTAATTCTTCTTTCAATTTGTTCTTTTCAATTTTAACCGCTTCCAAAGACAACATTGTAACCAAATCCCTATTATGGGATATTTCATCTTCCTATTCAAAATAACCTCAAGAACTAAACTGCGGAAGACAAAGCAAAGAAGAACAGAAAGGCTTTAAGTAGACCAAAAATCAAAACAAACTGAGAAAAAGCCAACTTTTGTGACAGAATTAGAATTACACATACCTTAGACTTCGGACATTGATGGGAGAGAAATTTGCAAAAGATATGAGCCCTAATTTTTCAACAATGGAGCCTAAATAAGCGTAGGGAATTACGGGTAGGGGTGTTCATAAAAACCCGAAAAACCGAACCAAACCGACCAAAAAAATCGATACTTTTTAGGTTTGGTTTGGTTTTGGTTTTGAATTTTAAAAATCGATCAAATTTGGTTTGGTTTTGNGAGTACTTAAATTATTCATCACTATTTGATTCAATTATCATCAATATTTCTTGGTAAATGATAGATTTCTCAAAGAGCAATTGGTTTGATAGTGTTACGTTGAAAATATTGTCGGCGGAATATGTGTTTGGTAGTGTATGTCTCATATTAAGAAAAAACCCAAAAAATCGACAAAAACCGACAAAAATCGAATTGATAAAAAACTGAATTAATTGATTTGGTTTGATTCCAATATTTTAAGAACTAACTTACTTGGTTTGGTTTCTTTTTAGGGAAAAATCGATCCAAATCGAACCATGAACACTCCTAATTACGGGTAGAATCGGGTTGGTATTATTAGGGTCAAGTTTTTGGATAGGGGTTTTAATTTGGTGGGATAATCTGATGTGGCGGCTGAGATGGAAAAAAAGTTGGAGGGGTCAGCTACCATAGTGGACGGCCGTTAGGGTTAGATTTTAAAATGGATTGTTAACGGTTGGGACTGTAATGGGCGAAGAGTATAACGGGGTTAGATGTAAAAAATAAGCGATAGTAAATGGGCAATTTTGGACCTTCTCCCAATTTTTTAACTCAATTTCAACTACAAATTTTGACTCCAAAATCAGTTCATCCAATCTTCCTCAAATTGTGTATATTGTCTTGATACTACGTGTTTTTGATAAAACATTGATACTATGTAGTTTCATTTTATGCGAACTTTTTCAGAGTTTATTTGACTCCCCAAATAGTAATAGGTTCACATAAAATGAAATAGACGAATTATATAATTAATAATTCATAAAATTTGTGAAGATTCACAAACACATGAATCAAAAGTGCACATGTCATTTAACAAATTTCGTCAATGTCACATTCAGAAGGATCAAGATAAGGATTCGAGCATATTTGAGGGACTAAACTAAAAATACAAAATTTCCCTAACAACTGTAAGTAGTTCCTCCTATAACTTAACTTTTAAATTCTCACATGAACAAGTGAAGCTTGCTCAGCTGGTAAAAGCACTTCCACCTACGGCTGTTGGGTTCGAGTCATGTGGAAACACTATAGATCCTCCTAATTTGGAAAAGGGTTTTAAAAAAAGAAAAAAAAATCCACACATGACATTCCTCTCGCTGCATACAAGTGGAAATCAATGGAACGCTTGGAAAGCCTGGAAGATACGAGGAAGGAATTGGCGAGGTGGGACTATGCAGTGTTCTATTATCAAAAGGACAATAAAGGAGGCACGATGCGGTGAGCAGGGTCTTGTTAAATCGTTTATGAGGATTTACGAGCAAATAAAGGAGCAGATGGCCACCGATGAGTATGCTTCTCTCTCTCTCTCTCTCTCTCTCTCTCTCTCTCTCTCTCTCTCTCTTTTTTTTTGGCTCTTTTGATCTGTAATTTTCTTGGGTTTTGTCTATTATTTGGTAATAATATTGAGATTTTAATTATTCTTGTCACATCACCTTAACGATTATAGACCCATTTGTAAATTTAACTCAAATCACTCCCGGGAAATAAAATTACACAAACATATACTTGCATTTCTTACTCGAATTTTTAAGACTCGGGGCAATTGGTTAGATCATTATATCCTCCATTTTCTTCTTCTAGCGTATATGAGTTCCAAAATTATAAGGAGAGGACTATATAGTTTGAGGAGATCTTCATTTGCAAATTCTCAACTCTGATTGATTATATATTCCTTCAGGAGTTCTCTTTGGAAAATGACTCCAACACCCTTGGGTGATGCGAAACCATACAGATTTGACGATTTGAAAGATATGATTGAAAACTTTGACTAGGATATTGCAAAGACTATGCACGGGAGATTGTACAAAGGTGTCATTCGCGATGACAAAGGCGGACAAGTGCTAGAAGTTACTATCAAGACATAGGATTTCTTTTTTCCAAACCAGAGGTACTATGGTGACCATCGGATTTTGTGTATGTTACATATCGGATCTCGTTTCTCTTTCTCTCTCCCTCTCCCACTCTTTATCTGAGTATTTGTGGCTAAACTATTTGGAAAATTTGCAGAATGAGCATGAAATATTGACGGATGAGAGTGATAATCTTTACGATTAGATAAGCCTATCTAATTGTGAAAATAATAAAAATAGAAGTAAAATTTAACAACTAACTGCAATAGATAACCAAATAGCTGGTAACAATATCGCTCGGCATGTACAATAACCAATACTCTAGAAATACACAGTATTCCCAAAATCCGGAACATCATAAGTCACAAGCTACAGAAGAAAACTAGTATCTCTATAAAAGATACTAGAAGTACAGAAGGTAATTGACACAGAGGAGAGTAGAGGGGGACTCCGAGGTCTGCGGACGCGACAGATATACCTTGAAGTCTCCAACTGTCACTGCTCACTGATGACGTGACTGATAACGAGCACCTGGATCTGCACACAAAACATGTGCAAATGAGTACACCATAATGGTACCCAGTAAGTGCCAAGCCTAACCTCGGTCGAGTAGTGAAGGGGTCAGGTCAGGCCCACTGTAATGTAATAAATAAGGCAGGGGAATATAACACTATATTAAGAGACTGGAATTTATCAAAAGGAAACACAACAAAAATAGCAGTACAACACACAAGGGTGTGTAGTAGGGGATCTTCCGAGATACCGTCTTGTTGTCCCAAAGTAAATAAGCAAAGAGATCTCCCAAGGTACCGCCTCGTAATCTCAAAAGTAAATGTGCACGGAGAACTTCTGAGGTACCGCCTCGTAGTCTCAAAAGTAAATATACAGGGAGAACTCCCGAGGAACCGCGAACCGCCTAGTAGTCTCAAAAGTAAATGTGCTGGGATAACTCTCGAAGTATCGCCTCGTAGTCTCAAAAGTAAACACACAGCTCAAATCGATAAATACATTAGTTAACAGCAAGAATCCTACAATTAAGACTGATAAAGAACAAGGAAAGAGCAGGAAAATCAACTAGGTATGCTGCACAAAGTTAAAATAAGTAGTTAAAGCACGTAGACATGTGATATTAGACTAGACAGGTTAACTACACATGTTGGCATAACTCAATTAAAAATGGAAACAAGTTACTACTTAGTAAAAATCGTGTTTTTCAATAATAGCTCATGTACGCACTCGTCACCTCGCGTACACGGCACTCATATATCACAACAGTACCAAATCCTAAGGGGATTTTCCCCACACAAGGTTAGGCAAGCTACTTACCTCAAACCAAGCTCAATCAATCTGTAAGAATGCCTTTTCCTCGATTATCCGACTCCAAATGGCCCAAATCTAGACAAACATAATTACATATCATAAATACAACTATAATAGACTAATCTAATTAATGAAATCAAGACTTTAACAAGAAATTCGAAAAATCACCCTAAAAATTCTCCCCAGGCCCACGACTCGGAATCGGGTAAATGTCAAAAAATATGAACACCCATTCACTCACGAGTTCACTCGTACCAAAATTATCCAAATACGATATCAAAATCCCAATCAAAACTCAAAAACTTAGTTGAATAACTTCTCCCATTTTCCCCAAATTTCTCAACCAAATTCCTTAATTAGATGATGAAAACAACTATAGATTAGTGGAATATAACCATAAACGAGTTAAGAATCATTACTCCCAAAGTTCTCTCTGAAATATCCTTGAATTATCGCCTTAATCCGAGCTATCAAAATCCCAAAATAGAAAATGGGATAAAACCCTGGAACTTGGCCCTTTTCTGCTCAGCGATTTCGCATCTGCGGGCTTCCATCGCAGATGCGGAAATGAATTAAGGTATCTGGGACCGCTTTTTCGGTCACGTGGCCGCACCTGCGTTTGCGCACCTACGAACAATGGTCCGTTTCTGCGGTCTTCCCCCATGCCTACAGTTCCTCTAGCGCATCTGCTGACATCGCAGATGCGACATTTTCCTCGCACCTGTGACCCCTGACCAAACCTCCCAACTCCGCTTCTGCGCTTCTCGAATCGCACATGCATGTCTGCACCTACAACCAACCCTACCGCAGGTGCGATGACACCAGAAGTTGAAAAAAAAATTCAACAGTTACACAAGTCCAATTACGATCCGTTAAGCATCCGAAACACACCCGAGGCCCTCGGGACCTCAACCAAATATTCCACCAAGTCATAAAACATCATACGAACTTAGTCGACCCCTCAAATTACATCAAACAACTCTAAAAATATGAATCACCCTCCAATTCAACTTAATGAACTTTGAAATTTCAAACTTTTACAACCGATGCCGAAACCTATCAAATCACGTCCGATTGACCTCAAATTTTGCACATGAGTCATAATTAACTTTACAGACCTACTCCAACTTCCGTAATTGAAATCATACCCTGATATCAAAAAGTCCATTACCGGTCAAACTTTCCAAAAATTTAACTTTCATCATTTCAACCCTCCAAAACATAATCGGGACACGCTCCTAAGTCCAAAATCACCCAACAGAACTAACGGAAATGATGAAACTCCATTCCGGAGTCGGCTTTACACACCTCCCACTACGGTCAAAATTCTAGAACTTAAGCTTCCATTTAAGGGACTAAGTATCCCAAAACACTACGAAACAATGAACAAAACCTCCCGACAAGTCACATAAGTAGAAAAGGATATGAGGGAAGTAGTAAACAGGGCTATTACTCTCAAAACGATCGGCCGGGTCGTTACATCCTCCCCTTCTTAAAACAACCATTCGTTCTCAAATTAGTATAGAGACCAACCTGAAGTGGTGTAAAGATGAGGATAACGGCTGCACATATCATGCTCGGTCTCCCAAGTCGCCTCCTTGACCGGCTAACCCCTCAACTGAACCATCACGGAAGCAATGTTCTTTGTCCTCAACTTTTGAACCTGCCTGTCCAAAATAGCCATCGGCTCCTCTACATAAGATAAATCCTTGTCTAACTGGATTAAGCTGAAATAGAACACATGAGACGGATCGTCGTGATAGTTCCGGAGTATTGAAACATGGAATACTGGATGAACCCCTGCTAGACTGGGAGGAAAGGCAAGCTCATAAACAACCTCCCCAACACCTCGCAACACCTCAAATGGGCCGATAAACCTTGGGCTCAGCTTGCCCTTCTTTTGAACCTCATAATACCCTTCATGGGTGACACCCAGAGCAGGACCCGCTCTCCAACCATAAATGTGACATCGCGAACCTTTCGATCTGCATAACTCTTCTGTCTGGGCTGGGCTGTGCGAATTCGATCCTGAATCACCTTAACTTTCTCCAGAGCATCTTGAACTAAGTCTGTACCTAATAACCTAGCCTCACCCGGCACGAACCAACCCACTGGAGACTGACACAGTCTACCATATAGAGCCTCATACAGTGCCATTTGGATGCTCGACTGATAACTGTTGTTATAGGCAAACTCCGTAAGTGGAAAGAACTGATCCCACAAACCTCCAAACTCTATCACATACGCACGTAGCATATCATCTATTATCTAAATAGTGCGCTCAGACTGCCCGTCCATCTGAGGGTGAAATGTTATGCTCAGCTCCACTCAAGTACCCAACTCATGCTGCACGGCCCTCCAGAACTGTAATGTAAACTGCGTACCCTGGTCAGAGATGATGAGTACCGGTACGCCATAAAGCCTGACGATCTCGCGGATATAAACTCAAGCCAGCTGCTTGAAAGAATAGGTAGTCATCACAGGAATGAAATTAGCTGACTTGGTCATCCTATCTATAATCACCCAAACAACATTAAACTTCCATTGAGTCCGTGGAAGCCCAACAATGAAATCCATAGTGATTCTCCACTATGGAATCTCTAACTTCTGAAGCAACCCACCTAGCCGCTGATGCTCATACTTCACCTGCTGGAAATTTAGAAACTGAGCTACATACTCCACTATGTCCTTCTTCATTCTCTTCCACCAGTAATGCTGCCTCAAGTCCTGATACATCTTCGTGGCACCCCGATGAATGGAACACCGCAAACTGTAAGCCTCTTGGAGAATCAATTCACGCAAACCGTCTACATTAGGCACACATAGCCTGCCATGCATCCTCAATGCATCATCATCCCCAATAGTGACCTCCTTAGCATCACCGTGTTGGACCGTGTCCTTAAGGACAAGTAGATGAGGGTCATCATACTGACGCTCCCTAATACAATCATAAAGATAAGACCGAGAGACCACACTAGACAATACTCGACTCGGCTCAGAAATATCCAATCTCAAAAAATATCTAGCTAAGGCCTGAACATCCAACGCCATGGTCCTCTCTACTGCTGGTAGATATGCTAAGCTCCCCAAACTCTCTGCCCAACGATTCAAAGCATCAGCCACCACATTGGCCTTCCCGGGATGGTACAAAATGGTGATATCATAATCCTTAAGCAACTCCAACCATCTCCACTGACGCAAGTTAAGATCCTTCTATTTGAACAGGTGCTGCAAACTCCGGTGATCTGTGTAAATCTCACAAGGAACACCATATAAATAGTGCCGCCAAATCTTCAAGGCATGAACAATAGCTGTTAACTCAAGGTCGTGGACATGATAGTTCTTCTCATGCACCTTCAGTTGTCTGGACGCGTAGACAATCACCCTACCATGCTGCATCAACACCGCGCCGAGACCAATCCGCGACGCATCATAATATATAGTATAAGACCCCGAACCTATACACAATACTGATACTGGGGTTGTAGTCAAAGCTGTCTTGAACTTCTGAAAGCTCTCCTTACACTCCTTTGTCCACCTGAACGGAGCATCCTTATGTGTTAGCCTGGTCATATGTGCTGTAATAGATAATAAACCCTCTACAAATCGACGGTAATACCCTGCCGGCCTAAGAAAACTCCGGATCTCTGTATCTGAGGATGGTCTAGGCCAACTCTGCACTACTTCCAACTTTTTTGGATCCACGTGTTGCTCATGATCCTCCCCAGTCCGGGAGTACACCAGAATGTAGTTAGTAAATACAATGACAAATGAGT